AGAAGAGTTGAAAGGATCTCTGTTTGCAGATGACATGTTTGTATACATAGAAGACTCAAAGGTATCCATGAAAAACTTTTCAAAGTAATAAATGAATATAATAAAGTGACAGGATACAAAATCGGCTTACAAAAATCCATAGCATTTCTTGGGACCAGCAGTAATGGCTATGTCACTGGACTCCCATGTAGTTGACCATGGTTCGAGTCCTGGACACAGTGGCTTAAATTCATGCTGGATGTGTGTGTGTGTATGTCCAAGATCCTGAGAGGAGAATAGAAGAGAAAGGATTGTGGCATGGTCATCTTCCCCTAGGGGATGATTTCTCATTTTTCTGTCTCTCTGGCGAGCACACAAGCCCTATAGCAAAAAACTCTCAAAAAAAAAATCCATAGCATTTCTATATATAAACAACAAGCAGACAGAGACAGAACTGAAGAAAGAAATCCCACTTACCATAGGCATAAAATGCATAAGATACCTAGGAAGAAATCTAACTAAGGACATCAAAGATCTCTACAAGGAAATCTATGAAAATCTTTAAAAAGAAATTGTAAAAGACACAAAAAAGTGGAAGGACATCCCATGTTCCTGGACAGGGAGAATTAATATACACAAAATTGCAATTCTACCAGAACTAATCCACATATTTAATGCAATGCCTATAAAACTATAAGAGACATTCTTACAATCTAGAAAACCAATTCTATCATTTGCCTGGAATCACAAAAGACCCCATAACGCCAAAGCAATTTTACACTAGAAGAGTGAAGTGGGCGGCACCTCACTCCCCAACTCCAAATTTTTTTACAAAGCTGTGATAATCAAAACAGCATGGTATTGGCACAAAACAGATTGACCAATGGAACAGAATAGAGATCCTAGAGATAAACCCCAAAACATATAGTCAACTGATCTTTGACAAAGGGTACCAGTCAATCCATTGGGAAAAGGAAAACCTGTTTAGCAAATGGTGCTGGAAAAACTGAGTATCCACCTGCAGAAAGATGAATCTGAGTCCCTATCTCTCACCATTAATAAAAATCATCTCAAAGTGGATCAAAGATAAAAACCTAAGACTTCAAACTAAACTACTGTTAGAAAACACTGGGGATATTCTTGGAAACATCATGGTTTAGTTATAGATAGCGTAGACCCCTAAAGCACAGGGAATAACCCCCAAACAAACAAGAGGGCTACTAATTTTCTAAATTTTGTTTAGGGTGTGTTTGTGTATGTGATTTATTTTTGTTAGGTTTTGAGACATTTTAAATCAGAACATCAACTTCTTTGATAATATACAAATGTTCAAATAGTGTGTTTCTTCTAGGGTTAGTTCTGGTATAATACTTTTTTTTTTTTTTTGAGAGAGAGAGATTTTCGCTATAAGGCGTGTGCGCTCGCCAGACAGACAGAGAGAGACATAGAGAAAGCGAGAAATCACCCCCCAGGGGGGATGGTCACGCCGCAATCCCTTCTCCTCCATTCTCCTCTCGGGATCTTGGGCATGTACACACATGTGCCTGGTGTGAGTTTTAAGCCACAGGGTCCAGGACGCGAACCGTGGTCGACTACGTGGGAGTCCAGCAACATAGCCACTACACTAACT